GCGAAGTTGGAGAAGAGGAGGTGCTGTTTTCACTGACCGGACTCTGGTCCCGGAGTGACCGGACTCAGAGGGTGCGTCCGGTCATTTATAGTAGTGAAGGGCTCGGTCTTGGTGTGAGACCAGATGCTGAAGGATAAGTGGACCGGACGCGCAGGGCCTGCGTCCAGTCATGCTGACGTACGATGACATAGGCTGGTGTGCGAGGCTTGTGAGGATCGGACGAAGGGGTGCGTCCGATCATGTTCCAACGGGCACGTCCGATTGCTATTTTCCGGCTCTGGAACCTCTCTGGATGTGACCTGACGTTGTTCGGGGGGTGTCTAGTCATCCTCTTGGCGCGTCAGGTCACGGCACGCAGACAAAGTGGGAGCGCGCAAGCGGACAATGGGCGGCCACGTCAGGTCCTGGCTCGGTGCGTTCGGTCACAACTTAACGGTCGAGTGCATTCAAGTTAGCCGTTAGAGATCAGCAGCTCACATTTGAAGGCGATGACGCGTGGCAGCAATCCAATGACCGGACGCTGGGTTGGCTGCGTCCGGTCAAACTGACCGGCTTGTTCGGTCGCCTCGTGGAAGCAGGCAGTGTGAGCCCAACGACTCTATTTTGTGGGGGCTTCTATTTAAGCCCTATGGCTGGCTCTTGCTCACTCTCTTGGCCATTTCTATTGAGAATACATTCCTAGTGTAGCTAAGCTCTTTAGTGTAATTAGTTTTGAGAGCTAGCTTGTGTCTTGTCTAGTGGTTAGTATGGCTCTTTAGTTAGTCTTTGAGAGCACACTAACTTAGTGGTAGCGACTTAGCCTCTTTGTGTGTATTAGAGATCATAGCAACTAGAATTGTGGATAGGAGGCTTGCATTTTTAGTAGGCTAGCGCAACACTTGCATCGCCGTTTAATTGTCTAACATCTTGGCTCAAGTGTTGTTGTAGATTTTTTTTAATAGGTTATTCACCCCCCTCTAGCCATTAGGACCTTACAAGGGTCTTGTAGAGGCATCGTGTGGACCGTGGCGATGTCGTAGAGCCAAATAAGCTCTGGGTGTTGTCCGGCTGCTCTGTTCTGACACACTGAGTGTTAGGCTGTGTCAGCTTGGACCGGTCTTCACCAGGTGCACCTTCTAGAGGCTTCTTGGTGGCGAAGGCGGCCGGCTTGAGGGGCTGACACGTGGGCCTAGAAGCCCCTAAGCCCTTGAAGCCAGCGGTGGAGTTTGTCTTCTTGCGTCACGCCCTGTGCGTCACCCTGTCGGAGGAGCAGCTGACAGCGCCGTGCCTGCGAGTAGTGCTTGGGAGCCCCCGAGCCTCGGTGGCTCAGGGTGCCTGTCTTGAGCCCGGGCCTTGGATATCGCCGAAGGCCGAGAGGGAGCCAAGGATCGGGTCCAGACTCCTATCTATCGGGAGCCTGAGGCTCGAGCGAGCCCCCGAGTCCCGAGCAGAGGCAGTGGGCGTGCTCAGGTTCAGGCCCAATACCTTAGTTGGAGGGTGCGCGCGAGCATACCTGATGGGTATAGCCCCTGGGCGATCCTGGAAGGGTCGGTCGGGGGGTCTCTCGGTCGTGAACCTTTCATCTCGAGGCTTAACATACCCCTATGTTAGGATCTCGTCAACGCCCGTCTCCGTAAATCGATTTACGAAGGCGGACGCTTATAACGACCGTCTCCGAAAATAATCCATTAACCAAGGCGGTTGACTTACGGTGTCCGCTTCGGTTAATCCATTAACGGAGGTGGTTGTCATAAGGCAACCGCCTCGGTTCATCGTGGATTAACTGAGGCGAGCGCGTCCATTAATGATTAACCGAGATGGTCGCTTGGCCGGCCCTACCGCCTCGGTTCATCGTGGATTACCTGAGGCGGGCACGTCCATTAATGATTAACCGAGATGGTCGCTCGGCCGGACCTGCCACGGATTAACCACGGCGGCCAAAAAGCCCGCCCGCCTCCATTAAGAAAAGGACAATGCCACGCAAAATCTATTATGTAGTAATGCAATATAGAGCTTACGTCTAGGAGTTGCCCCCTGACGAAGTACCATAGCCTTGTGGCTGGATGCATAAAGGTGTCCAGCCTTCAGCTTCTGAGCAGGACCATTAAGAGGCCATGTGATAGTGTTAAGAAAATTAGTAGATGTTAAGAATGTTAGACGATATATGAAAAGAAGTATATTGTGCCCATCACTTACAAATATTTGAGTCCCGCCATAGAAATCCATTTAGGCATCAGACTCTTCGGTAGATACAGACAGTAACATTCTTATTCGCTTGTCAATGAGCCCAATTGATTCACTATAGGGTGTAAGCCAAACCTTTTTCTTTGTGTCAATTTTCTAATAGGTCGGCGTTTGAATTGGGGGAAATAAGAGTTGGTTTCTTAAAAAGAAAGGATTGGAATAGATCGTATCCTATGTTTGGTCAGTTGGAAATACTAGATAAATAATAGAGCCAAGTGCTTCACTATAAGTCAAGTTATAAGAGCGAAGCTATACAATAGTTATCCTTCGATTTGTTTACAAAATTTCTTTATTATTATATATTTTCATTTTCTTTCCTATTTCTTCTCACATACATCTCTATTGGAACCCACTACTACCTATGATTTCCGTGCCTAGCTTGTTGCTTGCATGACAGCCAAGCTCTCTTCTCTCTCCTTCCTTCTCCCTTCCACATCAGCAAAAATATTGATTAGCTTAGCTATAAGCCAATTGTTGTACTTGCTCTACGTAAACCAACTACTATATGAATTGATTAATAAGTGGACATCCATACAGCCAACTCAAGGTTGTACCTATATATAGAATAAAGAAGGGGCTTAAGCGTTTCTACCCTTGTTTTTAAGCGAAATGGTGATTTTATCCTCGTTTTTTAATTTTGTGAATTTTACCCCTACGATTCAAAACGAAGGGAAACTTTACCCCTGGTCTATGAAGTCCTTCTAACGGTGTTAACTTTTGGACATAAGGACAATTTTGCCCATGTGTTTTTACCCTTGTTTTATTATGATTTTTTTGTTTTTACCCCTGTTTTAAATTAGCAAGTTGACATTTTGTATACATATTTTTTAGAAAAAATCGGCAACATTTCAGCTGACAATCCATAAAAACAGAATTTAACATCACACAACAAATTAATTTCACACATATTGCATTAACGACAACAAACCAGATCCATATAACATGCCATCGTAGTACCATATTTAGATGTCAATATAGTGGTCCAAATAATATATTAAACACCAACATATAGGTCTAAATGACATGTCAAACAAAAGTAGGAACTAGTAGTGAGTTTTCTAGGCAACTAGTAGTGAGCTACATATCAAGCATTGAAACCCAACAAAGTAGCGAGCCTCCCAGAAGTTGCTCCTGTTCCCCTCCTTCCTGTTCCCCTAGCTGAAGCACTTGCACTTTATATGAAAAAGAGCATAACTATGTTAGTAAAGTTACTAAAATATGTAGTTAAGAGAAGCAATGATGGCTTATCTTACTCTGTCTCATTGTTAGTAAAGTTACTAAATACCTCTGCATCAGCCTCAGAAGCACTTTCTTTGGTGGCAGCTCTTTTTTTTGTGGACATTGTCTTTTTTTTATATGTGGCTGTGGTTGTTTCGTTTGTGGCTGTATCATGTGTGGCTCTCTTGTTTGTGGTAAAGAGAAGCAATGGCGGCAGCTATTTGTGTCAACAACTTTGGTTTGCAAAGTTCTACCTTGCCACCATGATTTTGGACCACTGTCTGGCAAACTAAAAAACGACTGCACTCTAATAACAAGTTTCAATTCTCTGTGATTTAGCCTACAAATCACAACAACGAATAAACAAGTCAACACATCTACTAATCACTGCTATTTTTCATTGCATTGAAACACACATATCATGAATTGGTGAAATACCTCGGTTCTTCCATGGCTGACCCGAAGCAGGTCGGAGGCAGGGGCGTAGGTCGAGGCCACCAGCAACCGAGCAGCGCCACACCTACCGCGCCAGCTAGCCGGGGGAGGTGGGGCTAGGCGGTGGGCGAGCCCCCAGCCATGCCGCCAAGGGCGGGCGCCGGGGGAGCAATCGGGTCGGAGGTAACCCGCGCAGCGCCCCTGACGCCGCCAGCGCGAGACGGAGGGTGAGGGGGGTGGGGAGAGGGGGAGAGCGATAGGGAGGTGCACCGTCGCTTGGAGCCGCGTCGCCGTCGGGAACCCTAAGCCGCGCCCGACGTGTTTTTGCGAGTGAAGGCCAATTCGAGCGGGTGCCGAGTAGGAAAACCTTTGAGGGGCATTGTTGTCTTTTGGTCCACCTGCCTTTTCTTTTCTTTTCTTTTTTTGCCATTTAATCCAATCATTACCAACAGTGTTAAAGAGCGGGGTAGACGGCGTCTTCGTTTGAAAATAACGAGAGTAAAATCATAAAGTTAAAAAAAGAAGAGGTAAAATCACCATTGAAGTTTGCAACAGGGGTAGAAGCACCAAAATCCCAATAAAGAATATTTTACACGTGGAGTGAAGATGATAACAGTTGCTAAACAAACTTGTAATGTCGTGCTTTGGTTTAATCTTTTGAGATAATAGTACTCCATTACCATCGGATTCAAGGTACGGAGTGTCGGGATGAACTGAAGGCGAGGGAACACATTCACACATTTCATCAGTCTGTCAGTGTCAGCTCGCAGATTTGCCGCACTGCATACATCAATGAATGAATGGCCAATCAAAATCTGCTCCATTAGCAATGGCAAGCACATTCAACATGTCCAGCGGTAGCTCGTTCACTTCTGTCAACGTTCGGTTTTCAATAATGTACAGCTACTAGTAGTGGTACAAAGGGGTCTGAATCGCCAAGAGATCAGGCTTACCAACACACTGAACGAAGAATGATGGATACACACATCAGCAATGAACTACCTCTAGGTCCACTTCAAAGATGGGAGAACCTGGGTCATTAGCTCCACTCCTGTGTGCGCCCGCCTCTGCTCAACGAGCACTGATGGAGCAGAGCTCAGGATTGCATATGGGCTCAGACTTGGTCACACCCACCGCAGTTGCCCTTGGTGTTCCAAGCTATGGCGGATGTCACCGTCAACAGCAATGACATGCTTCCTCAGCGCTGTAGCAGTCGGTTTCGTGTTATATTTCACTTGGAACCTTCCGACTGGGCCTGTGTTGTTGTTGACTGAGCCTTCTGGGATAATTTCATCCAAGAACTCATCAGCCACGTCGCCGTCTTCATCGATCCTAAGCCTCCTTGTATACCACCTAAAACCCTGGTGGAAAAAACACATGAACCAGATCATAATTATAATGGATGTTTTGAAATACTGGGTAAAAGGGGTTGCAAGCAGTAAAATTTAAGACAGCTGACAACACTGAATGAATTACTCGTGTTCCTCAAATACAAATTACATACTGAAAAGCACAAACATCCAAAAGCCTTGTGTTTAGTAAGACCATTTTAGCTTGATGCAATCTATGCACATGACTGGAAATAAAGGCACACCATTACATAAAGAAATACAACAGCAGGGGGAAAAACCTACTATGATAGTGACACACTTTAAAAAAGAAGACGTGTAACACAAAATTTGTTAGGTAAACAGATACACAGATGTTCTTCGACATAACAAGAAAATGTGTTACATCGACTCCTTTTATACAAGATATCCCCTTCTTCTGTAAGGGCCAAAAATATTCACGGAACACGTAATATACACCCAAAAAGATGAACTAATATAATTAAAGTCTGGTATCGAATATCAAGTTTACAAGTTTCATGTCCTACAACAGGAATTACAAGATCTACTTGAATGATAGATGTGTGTGTAATAGGTGCAGATGCCCACTTGCTAGTTTTATGTCCTACAATAATAGAACAGTGCTTTGAAACAGGTTGACAATATAGAAATATTAGTTGATGTAGCATTATTTTTCAAAATGAATTATGGAAATTCATTGTAGAATCCACAGGAGGAGATAGTCATACAGGTTGAAAATTGCTATGCTATGAAGAACTTGTTGCCAAACAGGCAACAAAAGACAGTGTCTCATAATGCCAAATCAAAAGGTTTGGTTCCACCAAACACCTCTCATTTTTGTAACCAAGCAGGAATTCACAGATAACTCATGCCCAAAAATTGGTATACACAACTACAAGCTTTAAAGGGTTGTTTAAAACGATTTACAAATCATAATGTTAAACCTCTTCCACCTCATTGTGGAAGAGGCCGACGCCTAGATCACTTCCGGCTTCACTAGCCTCTCGTCGCTGGTCGCCGCACGCGCCAACTAACGCTACGCGCGCTCGCCCTTTCTGCTCTACGTCGCACCATTGTTCCTTTAGTTAGTACATCCGTGTAAGTTCCACCGTTTGGCGGTGATCTGTGTTCGTGTTTACCCGCACACTCGGTGGCACCTCGCCATCTAGTGCTGTTGGGCGTGTACTCAATTTAACTCTTGCTTAATGAAACACGTGCTAAGCACGTTCCCGAAAAAAATAATGTTAATCCTCAGACAATTAACCAACTATGAAATATCTCAACAATCTTTTGTAAACCTCTACAAGTTAGCAATACACACAGATCAGCTAATGAATCATTGATAGCAACAAAAGCACGAGAACTCCATCAAACGAAAATAATGTAGATAACCATAATTGATGTAACCAAATCAAAAGAACTTGCAGACAAAAGAACACTAAAAGAAACCAATTCAGATAAAGGACCAAGACATGGTGACTACTTGATTAGACCGAGATGATCTAAAAGAACCCAAGAGCTATAGCTAAAGTCTAGACATGCCTAGTAGCAAAGGTAACTAGATCACATCAGATATCAAAAAACAAAGCAGATAAACTCGTAACATGGTTCATTACTTTAATTAGATACCGTCATTGCTTGGTATTATCAGTTTTGAGATAACCAGAATCCAACAATGAGGCAAGTGGATGAAACAAGATAAATTATTGAGTGCAGACGGTTTGAAGATATACTTTATCAATCAAATGGATTTTTAGGACAAAGACACAATCACACAACCTTAGGCCCTCCTATGTTCTGAACTACTGATATTTATCATCCATGTAATTTAAAGTAAGACATGGCATGTATACCTTCTCATGCAACAACCCACAGATATAGCACTACAGTAGCACATGTAACCTTAGAGTGAAAGAAACTTGGGCTCAAATTGTTACATCAACTCTTAATGCACTACAGAACACTAGCTGAAGACCATAAGGTCTAACAAAGGTGATCCACATTGGTTATTGCTTGAATTAGGTCGTTCCTACTTAAATTTATCTATGGCCATTTTCCTTGACTATCTTTCTCTTATCTAATCGACTACAAATGATACAAACGAAGTTCAGCAGCGCGAGTTTGCAGCTCTGAGGCCCTGACACTAAAATGAAGTGTACCATTGTTTTCTAAACTGCATGACAATAAGCTGCCATAAAATGCACCATTGTGTTCAACTACTTCTCTTGGACATAAAATGATTGTCACATAACTAACATGGAAGTAACCCAATTTGATGCTGAGCTAAGGGCTAACTCCTTCAGTTTTCAGTCCAGAATTCAGATTCACAAAAGGAAAATCATCCATGAAGGACGAGAAGCTAATAGTGCTACCCACACTTGTTACATTCTACACATTTGCACTGAATTGGGCAGTGGGGACTAGTAAATTTCGCATAAGCAAGTCCGGTAAGCCATGCCACAAAACCAGTTTAACACGGAACCATCTACAAGTAGTTAATGTGGTTATCTAAGAGAAATCTTCAAGCCCAGCAATCAACAATTCAGAACGGCTCGAACTCCCACCGGAATTCAGGGAGCCATCCCAGCAAGTCCAAGTCCAGACGTCGGAGCTAGCAGATACTAGCGCAACAGCACACCACAAGCACCATAGAAAGAAGAAAAAGAAAGGGGCCCTTTCCATGAAATCAGATCCCGTTGACTCCGGAGCACAAGTACAACCGACGCCATCATCGCAGAGGGGAAAGGAATCTCCCGGGGGTACCTGCACGCCGCCGTCCCCCTGCGGGCAGGGCACCAGCACGGGCCCGGGCCCCTGCCGCTCGACGGGGACGGGAACCTGGACGCTGAAGCCCCGCCTCGCCCCGTGCCCCGCCGCGGCCGCAGCAGCCCTGTCATGCGGGAGTTCCGCGGCGGCGGCGGAGGAGGACGGGGAGTCCGGGTGGTCGGCGTCGTCCCGCGAGATGCCGAAGAAGCTGCCGATCTTGCGTAAGAAGCCCATCGGCGGCGAGGCCCCCAGTCGATCCGACAGCGGCGCGGTGGGAATGCCAATGGCCCGCCGACGCGACGTGATTATGTGTGTGGTGTGTGTGTGGGTCGTTGATTTTTTAGTTTTGAGTATTATCCTACACAGTGTGTTTGTGCGTGGCTACGAAACAACTAAATTTTTATACTAAAAATATATAGATCACACGATAAGATAATAATACTATAAAATTAAATAACAACATTAAAATTATAGTTAATTCAAAAAGCAAAGTCTATGAAATTAACAGTTACGGAGAGCACGACGTCACAGGCTTACAAACTATATATTATAAACCTTTTCGTGATGCGCCTAAAATAATATTTTATATCGACGGAAAGAAATCTCCGATATCTATTTCTTTCGTGCGCCAATAAATCCACGAATAAGTTCCGTCGCATCTCCATACCATCATGTACACATGCTCGAGTATATATGTCAATATTAGTGTCTGTCGCATAGGTAATACTGCGTCTCTTGAAAAAACTTCCACAAAAACTTAAAACAAAGTGCTATACTCACCGTATAAATATGTGTGATTTTAATCTATTCCACGCAGACATATACTGTAGAATAAGATGTTCACTTAAGTGTCTGTGGCAAGATTCACGATCAGCGATATATAGAAATAGTTAAATCGTAGGTATTATTATTGCAAGCTATAGTGACTCTACGTTAGTTACCCATCGATGTCCTCCGCAATGTTTTTTTCGTCTGAATTTTCATTCGAAGACATCTTCATTCCATCCAGGAATATGTACATTCACTGCGTCCGTGTACTGCAAGGTAAATCCAAGAGTGTACCTGGTATACATCAGCGCTGGTATGTCTTTACATCAGTCTTCAATAGGTCTAGGATCAATCATGATAAGCATCTTCTTCTTCTGATCGAAAACATAAAGCATATACTTTCGAACGTACAGCCATAGCAAAAGAAACTATAAACATGGTAGCGTTTAGAATAGTATATATAGAAAACAAGTAATAAAAGCAGGAGCAAACGACTTACATATCTGCATTGTGCTAAGTTGTATTCCATATCCTCACATACACCAATCGCAGCAGCCATTTCTTTCTTAGTGTATTTTTTATGGTATTCTGGTATTTTTGTTAAAGCACATATTTTTTGAAAGAGAAGGATATCGAGTCAGGATTAGTATAACTTGGTCTACTTTATACAATTAGAAGAACAACAAATAAGATAATATAATATAGCACGATAAGAATTTTAAAAATATGCTTACACAGAATCTCAGGTTCATGTGATGCTTCGTAATACTATTGTATTTTTTTCATTGTATTGTACTCTCGAGCTGCCTGAAAACAGATACCTAAGTTGAAATAGTTCTCAGAGATGTCTCGATTGTTCATTAACAACTCTCGTAGGTCCTGACACTTAGGGCAATTATGGAGGGATGAAAACCTTTAACCCAAGGCTTTCTGCAAAGCATTAGACACAGATGATGGTTTTCGTCATATAAGATATCACACTATTATTAGTAAATAAAGTAATTAAAATAAGCATGTAGCTTACTTCAACGTCGCTTTATCCTAAATTGCCATGACGTAATCACACAGTAACTCAGTCATCTCTTCCTTGTTCATTGGCATGTCTTCCATGGCCTCAAATGCCCAAAACTCATTAGGGTTTTGGTTGGTATGGACTTGTGGGGATTTATTCTGAGTTTGTATGTGTTGAGGGATGTCCGTTTGAACCACTAAGCATTCAACCTCCTCATAATGTTTTCTCTTTTTCGTGGACACTTGATCAGCCATCTTTAGATTCTCTATTATGGCACAGTCGTTTGGGTTTCTAATATTTTCATCCCTATCAAGATATGGAGCACCCTTTCGTTTGTTTAACTCCGACGATAGCAAGATCGCCGCAAGCTTCAATCTAAATTCTTTCATATCATCCTGCACGATAGTATGAACCTAATTAATTATTAATTAAAACATATAGCTAGTGCACACTCATAACTTATGGTAAGACGCATAGTTTACCTGATTAAACTCGTTTGACAAATCGTTACTAGTCCAATACTCCATAAAGTTTATTAAGAATAAATCGCATGAAAAACTACATACAACATTAATAGAGGTTCAGGCTCACATTAGATCAAAAAGGCAAAGACATATAAAATTCAACTTATATGACATGCCATTATTTCTGACGTACCCATCTATTTGTAATAATTTGCCGCGGAAAATCTCCCTAACCGGCCAGGTATCAACCTCAACATCTAGCCATTTGTGCTCTTTCGGGCCTGTCTCCTCCAATATGAAATCTATCTGTTTTCGCAATTCACCTCGCTATTTGTTCATAGAAGAACGAATCAATCAGCATTTCTAAAATATAAAATGTGTACAAATAGCTATGTTAGGAAATACCCACAATTTTATTGAGGTCAACACGTCCGAACATCTCGCCCAAAAAATCTAGCACCTGAACCTCACGTTTGACGGTGTTTATAACAGCAAGGTACCAATGTGTATTTGTAACATTTATTGGAAGGAACACCTATCAAATCAAATAATAAACATTTTGACAGGCATAAAAATTGATAATGAAAGACCAATAGATCGTTTAAAAAAATTGCTACCATGTCATGCTTCAAGTAAGCTAGCACCCTTTGAACTAAACCAGGACGCTGTGAAATGCCACGGTTAGGGTAATTGGCTTCAATGGTCTTATCCTTTTCTCCATCCTGCTTCATGATTGCAACTAAGCACGCAGTTTCAAGATAGACTGTACCTCCTGGCCTCTTTTTCAACCCCTCCTGGGTCTTCAGCAGTTTAATATAAGCATCTATGACCTATATACATTTCGCCATTAGAGAGAAAGAGCATTGAAGTCGGCAATGTTTGATTGAGTATTATGACTTGCATCTGTTACTTCGTCAGATAAGTATTCATATGACTCAAAAAGATATTCCATCATCTATGAGCACAAGCTCCTCATTCCTAGGTGAAGATGGAATTTTTTTGACAGATTCAATTATGGCTCTATCAGTATTGGTACAAACATAATCTGAAAAAGATGATTAAATTAAAGTATACAACAATAGTTAGTAGTTTTTCTAGGTTAATCCATCAAAGAGAAAATATCAATACCTTCTAGGGCAACCGGTGAAGACATAGATTTTTTGGGTTTGTTTTGTACGATTATGATTTCCGAAAGTCCTTTTTCTGCCGTCGGATCTACCCCAGAAGTTGATACGGCCTTTTCATCATGGGCCGTGCTAAAGCCCTGGTCAACTGGTAGAGCTTCGTGGATAACTTCTGTACTCATGCTTTCTTGCAACCATCTAGAATCATCCATAGGCTCACTGGAATTTTCTGTTTGTACAATATCTTCTAAGGGGCCTCCATTTTCCTTCGAAACCTTTGCATCTGAACTATCCATCGAGACCTAAAAGATGTACTTTATTATCAGTCTATCACATAAATCAGTGTATGACTAACCATATAGTAAAGAAAGTTTATCACATAAATCAGTATATGATCTAACCACACAGTAAAGAATGTATTTGAAGTCCGACCCTGAGACCCTGGCCTTTTGTCGTTAATTCTGCACACAAATGTCAGAAGGACCTGGTAAAAACTGATCGGGCCTTGACGTCTCTGATGGTTACTCTAATCTATGCTAAAGGGAGACATGAAGTACTTTTGAAGCTAGGCATTGTCATGTAGGCTTTCAGTTGCTGAGATAATCAAATATCAATGTGTTAAGAGTCCTTTCAGGAAGAATAATTTATATAATTAGCAAAAGATAATACTGAAATCCCTCCTGCAAGGTTTAAATTAGCGAAAGATTATACTTATCACCCTCTGCAGGAGAGAGAATTGAAAGACATATAAATCATTGACGAATTAAGCTTTATAGGTCTTGCCTGTGCGTTGCTACATGCAAACAAAAAATAGAATTATGCCTCACTATATGGTATGAGAGGATGTTCAACTTTGTGAGATGTAGATGTGAATTCTTTTCTCTCCTAGTTACTGATTTGCATGCTAATTTATTTCAGCCAATGACTAATGTGTGCTAATCTGAATGAAGATCTCTTTAGCATCAAATTAAATGTCATGCCTTTAGATTCTAGCTAGTAGTAGATGCAATGAAGCTTAAAATAGATGTGTAACATGTAGAACTATACAATCCAAAGCTTCCTTCTTTTGCAAGAAGCAATTTTTAGGAAGGAAAAATGGTGTAGGAGGAAAACAAAATTTATATCACGCACTTGCAAGCACAAGTAGAGATAACTGTTTTAATCACATAACTGGATAAAAAATTAGGTAACCCAATCCAAGAACCACTATGCATGGACAACGATGTACCTTGGTAACGCATATCCTTAGGTCTGCACCATATATGTCGGCCAGCATGATTGCACCTTTGGAGCTATCATCTCTCTGTTGCTCCTGCGCAGTACAGGCCTGGACGTGCTTTGTGTCCCAGTAGCAAGGCTGGTGCTTCACCTCCCAGCAACAACACAGTGTCGATGGAGGTGCCAACAATGTCAATTGACACCACTGTTGGTAGGGAGGTCGTTGAGTACACCTTGTCAATTTTGACTAAAAAAAACACTAAGAAGGTGACACAAGGTTTGTTTAGAACTTTACAAGCAAAAACTAAAAGTTTGAATGAGATACCAAATCTCTGTTATAGCATAAACACCATGGTTCCCTCCCCTCTGCTTTTGGGTCATTGGGTGTTTGACACCACTGCAATAGCTCATCACCATCCTCTCAGCCAGCTTCAGCATGCTCTTCCTTCCCTCCGTGCTAGGCACCACTGCAACAAATGATTTTTCATAATGATCTGAATTTTTTGGGGATTCAATTAGATAGAGAGAAAATGGTACACGATAATGCATGTCATAGACTAAATAGAGATTACCACCGATATCACTTGATTGGAATGCTGTTGGCATAACGACACTGGCAAGACGCTCGCACTGGCGATCCAGCATTCC